AATATAATCGATAAATAATCCAAATAATGCATAAAATAATCGCAATAATAAATGTCAGCTAATGAAAATAGATAAATTCAGCATTCATTATCAGTGATACCAGCTAAATCAGTATTTAAGATTTTGCTAAATCATGACTTCTGTTAAATAATCCAGAATTCGCTAACGAGCTTGACTCGAAGTTATTTGAAGAATTTGACGTTGATTTTCTTGAACTCAGACTATAAAGAGGTAACCTAGGAAGAGATTAGAGATTCCAGAAATATTCACAGTGAGATGATGGAAGATAATTGTATTTGGTTTCGTATAAAGTCAGAAACCGCCGTGTTATTCCAAAATTGAGAAAAACTCGCCGCGATAATCGTGTAAAAAGACAGACGAAACTTTTGAATTATTCAGGAGCCATCTCGAATTGAATATTTTCCTGGTGCTCCAAACTTCATCGACGACAATCTGTTATCCTTCAATTTAGACTAAAAACGTGGCGCTAACCGAAAACCCGATAGCAACGTTCTGACGCAATCGATTTTGCGTAAATTCTCTAAATTGGAATTTAATTCGTCCACGTTGTTAAATCAACTGATGCTATAATCACTATTAATTCATCACGTGATGCGCGTAACTATCGTATAAGCATTTATCATGTTGTATTTATTATCGTTCAAATTTAATATCGATTAACATCGATATTCTGCAATATGAAGTTGCCAATCAGTGCATTAATAGATATCCGTTGTGAAAATGTGTCGAGTATATACTAGAATTACTATACCCACTGATATTTTTCAAATGTCGACAAATCAGAGACAAAATACCAATATCGAAAATATTTAATATCAAATGCAAATAATCTGTAATATTAAATAGTAGTTTGTCAATATTATATCACAGCTATGATATTCTTTTTTCGGTCGCATTAGTACTCGATGTTGTTAAAGTATCTATATAAATAAATCTGTTTTCTGAATTGTGTACACTTTTGCTTTAAGTAAAATACAAATTAACAAAAAAGTTTATGAAAAATTTTGTGTTTCAAATTATTACAATATATTTAAAAAAATCAAACTTTGGAGCATTAGTTACATTTTATTAAATATCAAAAGAACTGTATCAAAAAATTTTCAATAATTAATGAACTAAAGACCGCTCTCTACTGGCTGCTTAGAAGAATTTATTCGTGAAAACATATGCGACTATCATTGAAGCGTCTTAAAGATAATATCAAATCTAAAAATGGCTATTAAATATTAATTGTTATTTTTGTATTTAATAAGATATAACTAACAGTCCAAAGTTTTTTTTGTAAATATGTTACTAATGATTTGATAAACACAAAACTTCGTAGCCAAATTTTTTGTTATCCTATAGGTATGTGTTTAATATTTGACAAAAACAAGCAAGTTCTAGTACAAGAATAAAAACACAAACCTATTACATCTAATTGGTACATCTTAATAGAAACAAAAATACCGCAAGTACTCAATGTCGCGGTCAAAGGTGGAAAAAAACTGTAACCAATCGAACTTAAGACAGGCTCTCGGTGAGTACAAATCAAGAAGAACAGAACGAAGAAACAACCGCGCGTAATGAGAGCTCGAGTAACCTAGAGAACGAGAGAAAGGAAGATAAATAGACGAGAGGTAGGCCGCGGAGAGACCTGAAGAAATGGAGCTAAGAAATGGCCTCTTGAGGATTAGAATGAATTCACCGCGGACGAAAACCGTGCAATTCTCGTTTCTCGGCTTGTATTATGTCCCTTTCACACGATCCATTTGAAAAAGTCTTTTATTAATTCTTGCAAACAAATAGATAAAATAACATTTCGTTTTGTACTGCTGTGAAGAATTATATTCTAAATTAATATTAATTTAAACATACAGGTCCGAATTTACACAATGCTTTTATCGATAAATGCGCGCGTTTATTTCTGAAATTCTAATAATATGTGTAGCGTGAACTATATATGCGCTAACATTGTTATAAACGTATTCTGTATGTAAGCTATAAATTATTTGAATATTTCAATCTCTCCTTTTTTACGTACATCTAACACTTTTGTATAATTACATAAAATTGTCTATATATAGTATGTTATGAAAGATTAAAGAACGCGTTTCGATTTTATAAACATAGATGTTATTACGCAAGCATTTCAAGACATAAAATCCTATCGCATATTTTAGAGCGTAACATAGACTTTAGACCAGTGGGAGGTTACCGTCCTCTTCCATCGGAATCGCCACGATCCTTTTCTTCCTCCTGAGTCAGCCTTTCCCCCATTCTCACCCTCTCACGTCTCGCACTACACCGATGCGATTCCTCTTTTTCTTCTTCTTCTTCTCCTTCTTTCTCACCCCTTGAATTGCTCGATGGCGGTTCAGACGGTGCCGGCAACGTGTCTTTTGTCCGCGGACCGGTTTCTGCCGGTTCCTCGAACCATTTATTTCCCTCGTCCCTCGGCTATATATGGCTATATACTCCTTCTCACTCCACTTCTCCTCTCGCGTCCTCTCCCGTAACTCGTTCTCCCAATACGTTCCTCCGTCCTCTCTCATGCCGTTCCTTTTCTCACTGCATCTTCCATCGCCTACTATCTCGTCCTACCACCCTCGATTGTGTTACACCCTTTTTTCGGCCAGAGTATCGTACCACTGGCCGGCTCTTGCACTCGAAATAACGCCCCGATTCCTGGCAGCCTCCCGAGTCCATGAATGAACGCGGTCGAATCGCTCGGAGGCATGGAGGAGACGAGGAGTCACCGAGAGCCCGGCTTGTCTGACCTTCGCACGGGTCGATTCGGTGCGCATCTATCGACGACGAGGACGAGGGCGACGACGACCCCGTTTGACCTCGCTTCATCGACCACGCCGAAGACCTGGACACTGGGTCGACAGAACTATGCGGTAGCTCACGACTACGTAGACTCTTCCGCCTTGGCGTCGGTGTACAAAACATGGAGGGGGAGAGTTATAGTTATTGGCCTCGATAACTGGCGGTTTATCGGCGATGCTATTTCTTATATATGTGTATATCCCGAGCAAGACACTTCACTAACTTTGTGTGATGTCACGCATATTCCCAGATTAATGTTGTCGAGAAATTAAACACAAATAATGTTTCTCTGCATTGAGAAAACAAAAAGTCGAAATATTTGCAATCAAATGTCATATGTGACATTTTTCTTGATATTTATTAGTTAATAAAAAAAAATTTTACTGCGTGTGATGACAAAATATATATTTCTGCGAAATATATCTCATTAACGGTAAAAAAATAAAATGGATGATTTATTTGCTAGGAATAAAATTTTATTTCGTCGTATTCAAATGAGGATTTATTTCAGTGAAATAAATTTCATATCACATAAATAAATTTTTAAGTATTTTCCTCAGTGTGTTATGTCGAATGTATAAAACGTGTAATTTATTCAAATCGACTAAAATACTTTAAAAATTCCTTCATAAATTCGAAGATTATATTTCTGCAATGGTAATCATTGTGAATTGTAATCTTTTAATATTTCAAGTTAAATGATTTTTCATGCATCATTGAGTCGCGTTTATTAACCAATAAAACTTAGGAATTTATTGTTAAATTACGCTGCAAAAACAATTTTCAATCGCTCGTGACGTGAAAATTATTGATATAACGAAAAAGAAATGTTTGAATATTAATTAAAAACAATACCTACGCCATTACAGGTTTTCTTTAATTAACGCAGATTATTCTTTGATATATAGAAGCATCCTAAATATGTAAGTTGGAAAGTGAAAAAACTATGACAGAGTTTCAGGTATGACACGTCTCATTCTGTTTCGTATCGGAAATAGCAATGGTATTATTTTGCTTAGCAACAATCAGTTTTTACGCACTTCCTGCGCCCTAACTCGCGATGTTTACGAGCGCTTGTCGATGTACAACACGACGCGAGCGCGATATCACAGTGCTTTTATCGCGCTTTTATTATGATACCCGAGACGCCAGGGATCGCGTTGTTAAATCAGAACCCTTTCGTTCGTCTTGTTGCGCGCGCGCGAGGGCGAGATTGCTCGGTACGATCGATTGGTGAAACGATCCCCCCCGACAAACACAGGTAAGAATGGCACGTCGAATAAGACCGTGGTAACGGCTATCAGAAACCGAGCGCCGGATAAGCTTTTACTATCCGATAACGATTAACGGCCGTCGGCTGCGATTGTGCTGGCTTGACCCGAGTATCGGTCGACCGACCGATTGCGTTCATCGACTTAAAAAGATTTATCGGCGCATGGCGCCCGCTTCGAGTTCACCTCTCGATGAAGTCGGAGAAATTACGACGTTGTGCGAGCCCTGCTACGAAAGTTCACTACCTTTGGAACACGATTAAAACAGTATTCATCAGCGCGCAAATACCGCACCACTTCCACCCCAGAGAGAAATTAGCGGGGCAGACATTCCGCGAACCGACTAATGAATTTCGGGCAACCGAGCTGCTCCCGCACTTCCTACGAGAGAGAGTTTCTCTCCATTTGCTTTCTCATTAAATCTCAATTTCAAATAGCACGCCACTCGCGATTATCGCCGGTCGTTTCGGGAGAAGTTCCTCGCTTTCGGAATTGAATATCATTTACCGAAAAATCCGAGAGACTTAAGTTTCTGGAAAGTTCTTTACTTCGAAATCAACAATAAGTTTAATTACTTTAAATATCGTAGTACTTGCATATAAAATTCTTGGAGACACAATTCCTTCAAACACAATAATGTTAAAACGTGTAATAATATTAATAAATGTTTATATGTTGTATTTCAACTAAATGTTTGGTAAAACGTGGCTCTTTGATTTTTGGCGAATGACAGTCAATAATGGAGCGATATTTTGTGTCACATATTTTGTAGATACTGATAATTAATATCAAAACCCTCTTCCTCATGATAAAATAATTTTTTTAAATTGAGAACAACCCGTGATTGTGCATGTATCGATGTTTCAAGAGAAAAGTTAAATCTCGAAAGTCACTTACCTTTTTCGAGCTGCTGCGATATCGGGCTTTGTACCCTCGGAGTTGTCTGTAACTGCGCTGCGTTTCCTGGTCGCCTTCGAGGCCTTCTTCCGGGTCGTGGCTAAATAATCAATAAAAGAGACAAATTATTGTTTTAATAATTAGGAAATTAATATGACATAAAAATTAATATAAATATAACAATTAACCTTCTGAAGATCGGCATGTTTTTGATTGATTTTTTTATTTTACGGACTAGAACTTTTTTGTCAATGGGGTTGAGTGGCAAAAAAAGATGGCGTCGAGTCCCTAAAGGGGCCTCCGGTCTTCTACAGGTTAATATTTATAATATATACATATATATAATATATATATATATATATATATATATATATATATATATATATATATATATATATATATATATATATATATACTTGTTTTTGCTAAAAATATATTGTATATATAGTTATCGTTACTAATATCATAGCAGCAATAATCATAATAGTATGTAAATAGTATAGTTACAGATATCAAAAATTTTTCTTTCAGTATATGTGCAAATGTAACTTTTTATTGATCATTCAAATATATAGAGATATATTTTTACAAACTTTTAGTAATAATATTTTACAAGAAAATAAATCTTGAATAAAAGTAGAGAGATAGTGAGTTTATAATCGCGACAGTAACTGGCGCAGTTTATATAACTGAAAGGTACAATTTAAAATTTACATAGAATATTATTAAGCACTTAATCTAGCCTCGACCGTGTTTGGTACTTTCTTCCTTGTTTGATTTAAAAGTAGATTGATCTACTTAAATAAACGTGACTATTATTCTGATTTTTAACGAAGACAAATCACAGACATAGATTGAGCATCGAATGCTGATACATCGCGTGCAACGAAAATGTTTCTATGCTTTCTTTCAAAGTCAGCTGACTATGGGTTAAAATAAACGATTGTAACGATTTATTATAGCTCGACCGATCACGCAGATTACAGACACGCCACGGACATTGCGGCTCAACTATAATTATACACTGCGGCAGAATCGATTTTCGACGATTACAGAACTCGTCAAAATAATAATAACCTTATAATAATATATAAAGCAGTAATGAACAAGTGAAAAATAATGTAATAAAAAATTAAGAAAAATCGCTACTGTCTTGCCTCGTTTTCAAGAAACACTTGTAACAAATATTCATTTATTTTAAGTGTAAGTGGAAATAATGTCGGAATTAAGAATGTCGTGCTGCATTCTATGCGGTGGAAACGCAAGAAATAATCGTTTTAAATATCTCAAACGTATATAACACAGATAAAAGATATTTGCTACATCTTTCAGAGCAATCGATAGCACGTGTGACATTCGTGCAACTTTTGCCACGAGTAAAATCGCGCAGCCAACCGCAAGACTTTATAGACTCTCGATGGCTCGGGATCTCTATCTCCTTCCCACATCATTTTCGTCGTCGTCGTTGTATTTCATTACTCTTCGTCCTTACTGCGCTATGTGTGGTACGTATGTACGTACATACCCGCAGTCAGATAATCGTAACAGTCCGGGCTCTTCGTCGCCGCTCGTAAAGTCACTAGCACCCGAAGAACAGCGCGGAAGGACCAGGACAAGACGGGTTACCGTCTTTGTTTAACTGCCGCGTTTATTGCCGCGGTGATAAACGGACGCGAACGCGAGCGCGCTTCAAGATAAACGTAAGCGTGCAAATGTCTCGCGTATACACGCGGAAACGACGACCAAATTTTAACGACAATTTCTACGAGTTTGGAGTCTAATGTTCCTTAGCGAGATTCTCAAGGGGCGTTGTAATTAAATACAAAATTACAAACTAACACTTTGAAAGAATTCTAAACAAGCAGCAGCGTTTTCATGCTATCTTGAGAAGAGGTATTTTATTCTCAATCGCTCGGAATTCATTGGCTCTTTTTCGAAATTTTAGTCGAGTAAAATATTCACTTTGAGGTCTTCGAGCTTGTTGTTAAAACTACATAAAAATAGAAAGGAAAGAAGATGCTCTATGTACATTAGTTAAACCACGAGATAATGTACCGTAACATAATACCGCAGTGCACAGCAACGAAAAGAACGGGGACGAAAATAAGTGCAAACTAAATTATCGGAATCCATCGTGTCAGGGTATTTCAGGCATCTCTTAATAAAATCCTAGACTTCCGCAAAAATGAAGTTAGGTCTTGAGAGCGCTTCGCTAAATTACTGAAATTTTTTACACCTAAGTTTCCTCTCTGGGATATGACGCCGTTTGGCATATTGTAATCTTCCTCAGCATACCAAACGCGATTACCTCGCATGATTACACGTTTTCCGCAGGTCGTAACGCGATACAAACAAACGCAAATACGAAAGTAGTCTTCAGAAAATTAATATTCTTTTTTTCGTTACAAGTATCGATCCAATATTTTATCAAATGTATATTAATCCTACACTTCTGATTTTATTTTTCATTTATAATAACTTTCATTTACAGTAATAAAATTAACGTCTTTATCTATTTTTTTATCTCGATATATGATATATCTCCTTCTTTATCACAACATTAATAATATAAAATATATTTTAACTTTCGTTAAAAAATAATATTATATAACGCTACTTCAATTATATAAATGTCAGTCACATACAATCGTTGCAATAAGATCGCCAATGATGTTAATTCTAGAGCAGACAATGCTGGCAGCAAGTACTAATAACGTAATAACTCCGACATTTAGATCTAATCCTCTGAAGTATTACGTCACCGTATGAAAGCGCGACAAGATTTCCAAAGTCATGACCAGAGAATCAAGAGAAATTTCTCGAATTAATATTACAGAAAAATTCATTCGGCATTCCTCGTTGTGCACAGGTCACCCTTTGTTGGCTGCATGCACTTTCGCATTTCTGTACGAGAAAAGAGAGCGAGGTTCTGTGAGACGAGCCGCGTGCGCGTTCGTGCGAAAGAATCCACCCTCTCGTATATTCTGCCTCTCTTCTCTTTTCCCTCCTCTCCTCTCTCTCTCTCTCCCTCTCTCCCTCGTGTGTGTTTTATTGCAAATTGAGGTTAAAGTCTCTGGCACAGAGCCAGGCATTTCACCTAGGCCGTTGCATTCCGGCAGATACACACGAGCGTTATATGCTTGCTTATGTGTCTCGCGCGCGCACGAGAGCATCTCGATCACGTATATGCGAAGAGAAGAGCTCTTACGTGCTGCCCGCAGACTCTGAAGTACGATTCACATGTACATACATGATACGTGCTTGAATAGAGAAAGTCTCTCGAATTCGAAGTATTTTTTTTTTCTTGATTAGAGTGCCGAGATGCTACTTGTCTTCGAATTGCAAGCGATTGAAAATAAAAATGGGCTCTCCGCCCCTCAAATTGGGCGATGAAACAACGTGGTCAAGTATGAAATGAAAAAAATAGTGGAATTTAACTATTTATATAGATTCAAATAGAACGTACAATTGCAGAATTAAATCAAAAGAGAATTTAATTAAATACTAGAAAATTGCAATAAAAATTTTGTCAAAATTTTTCTAAAAATTCCTCCGACAAAAAAGATCATAAATATTCTAGAAATAGAATTATTGACAATTTTGTGAAATACTTAGAAAAAAAAGTAGAAGAAATATTATGCAATTTATGTTAATCAGATCCACGCTATCTTTTTACGATGTAAAAACAAAGCAAATGTAACCACGCTTTCGAGCAAGATTTCAATATAGGTATCGATAAAGTGCGTGTCCGTGAGGTAAAAATAATTCGGTATATTAGATCGTCACATCAGTGGGTTTTATTTTTGCACTCGCAAGTCTCGCACACGAGATATAAATAGTAAAAAAAAAGAAAGAAAAAGAAATGGTTGCGCGGTAACGACGGATGATATTCCATAATATCATTAACGTACGTCGAGATAATAGCATCTTCGTCGCCGACGGATATAGGTGGACGCATTTACGTGCGGGCAGCATCTTTTTCCGGCATATGCTAATCTAATTAATGATTGCATGGAAACCCCCTTGTAGTGTGTACGCGACATATGTGTGTGCATGCACGCGAATGCAAACAGCGGCGTATTTATTACGGTTCAGAGTCCTCGAGAGATTCGCTCTCTATCTCTACTTTTTTCTCTCTTTTTTATTGTCCACGAAGCTTTTAAAATACCAATTTTCGATAATTATATTTCGCATATTCAATTACATATAAAAAAATATGCACATTATTATATACGATTTAATATTAATTGTCACAATAATTCAAGTTTTTCATGCACGAATTCATTTTTTATCAATGCCCTGAAGCAAACTGAGCAATATAAGTGTAAATATTTGTAACACTCTACCTTTACGGTACAATGGTAATTTAAATTGAATATTACGATGAGCAAACAATTCTCTCTTCTCTTCTCTTCTCCTCTCTTTCTCTCTCTCCCCCCTATACATATATTTATTCTCCCATCAGATATTATGTTTGAAAATTTTCTGAAAAATTTATATCCTTTTTTTATTATAATTTAATATGATATAGAAATTAGTTTCATAACAGTAATATTTAAAAAACTTGTATATTTTACTATAAATTAAAACATGAACATTTAAAACATCACTGGCCAGAAGACATACACATACATACAGAAGGATATCATTGCTAAAAAAAATTACTCAATTATTTTTTTTAAGTAATGGTTATCTTTAACAAAGAATCTTTTCTTGATAATAATTTTAAATTTACTACAAATTAAGAAAAATAACTTATTACAAGTTAAAAAAAAGTTCATTATTATTTATACTCTAAACGAGAATTTTTTTTAAGAATAAAATTGATCAAAAAACGACTTTATATAAATAAAAAATAAAATTGGTTTCAATTTAATAATCTTGAATTAAGTATCAAACTTAAGATTCAGAATATATTTGGAATATAAATTTGATGTTTGTGATAACTTATAAAAGATTTACGGATATATGAACTTTTGAAATACTTGAAACAAGTAATTATTATTTGTGTACAGTATATATTTTTCTGTATATGCAAAAATATATAGACGACAAAATCTTCCCTTAGCTAGATAATACGAAATACAAGATGTGGATAAA